AAGTATTGGTATCTATTTAATCTACATATTTTTTGTGTTATTTACTTGTATTATGTTATTGGGATTTATTTGTAAGATTTTTTTTTAGCTTTAATTTTCTTTTAACTTTCAATTCAATTATATAAAATTTTATTTTAGTGATATATAGCATAAGAGAAGGGAATGAAATGTTTACTCTTTTAAAATATTAAAAAAAATGTAATAAAAAATATTTATGGAATTTATAGGGTGCTATAAGAAAAAAAAATTAATTTTAAAACTTTGAAATATGGTTTCGTTAGAGCATCTCCAAAAGACTCTTTATATGACCTAAACTCTTTATTATAAAGAATTTATCCATAAAAACAAGAGGTCCAACAAACTCTTTATCTTTAAAATATAAATTAAAGAGTGAGTTTGACTCTCCACATCTAGAGAGTCAAATTTCACTCACTATCCTAATTTTAATTAATAGACTACAACTTTCTATGCACTTTATTTATTATTTCTCTCTCCAATTAAGTCTATTTCTTGAAAATAAAGAATATCTTCATTAAATTTAAAGAGTATATTATATTTGAATAAAAATTGTATTATTTATATTTAAAAATTAATAAAGATGCTCTTTATAAGAAAGATACTCTTCAAAATAAAGAGCACAATTGGAGAAGCTCTTAGTCCATTAGTAGGTGCCAATAGCTCCACTATTTTTTTGAACTTTCAATTTGAATATCTAAATATTTAAAGAAAAATAATAATAATAATAATGATGGTAGGGATATATAACATAAGTGAAGAGAATGAAATGTCTACTCTTTTAAAATTAAAAAAAAAAAATGGAATGAAAGACATTTATGGAATTTATGGGGTGTCATAAGAGAAAATTTTAATTCTAAAACTTTTTAAATAGGGTGTTTAAAAAATGAGGCTTCTTTAATATACTAATTTGGGGCCAATAGAACCATTCTTCTTAAAATTTAAGAGGAGTTATTTGTATCCCACTAATGTACTAAAGAAACCTCATTTCTTAAGACACCCTAATTCAAAGTTTTAAAATTAATTTTTTTTTTCTTATGGTTCCCCATAAATTTCATATATGCCCATCATTCCATTTTTTTTTTATATTTTAAAAGAGTTAATATTTCATTCTCGTCACTTATGTTATATACCCCCTACCATCGTTATTTCTAAAATAAAATTGTAGATAATTAAGTTGAAAGCTTAAAAAAAATTAGAGCTAAAAAAAATCCTCACAAATAATCCCAAGAACATGGTATGGTTAAACAACACACAAAGTAGTTATCAATAATATGAATAAAAAAATTACAACAAATTTATATGTGAAGGAATTAAAAATTAAAAATTTTGTATTGTTTATAACTTGATATATCACATCGTAAATTTACGTCCTCTATAAACTATCTTTTTGTCCTAAGAATGCTTTAAACAACATTAAAAAAAATTAGGATTTATGAGATAATAGTGAGGTGTTGATAGTTTTTGTAAAAAATAAGAAATTAAAGTTAATTTTAATAATTTAATGAAAGAATAAATTAATCATTATAAATTTTATTAAAATATGGAGTTTCTTTAGTCCATTAAAATAATGCGATGTCGAATAGATCCACTCAAAATTTTAAGAATGGAATGGGTTGGATCAGGTAAAACTTCATGTGGATTGGATTGGGTAAATCCATATTTTTGTCATTCCTAGGCGTAAGAGTGCGAGCCTCACCTATATTCTTTTTAAGCCCCATTATTAGTTTTTTAAGATTTAAAATAAATTTGTATATACAAAATTACCAAAATTGTCTATTAATATAAATACCGTTAACAAGTGTTTCCAACTTTTTAAAAACTCTTCCAAAAATCTTTTAGCGTTGTTTTCATCTACCTTGTCTACAACTTTTGGTCCAAGTAAATCACTTAAACTTGTTTTCTTATTCCATTAAATTATACAGAATTCTATTTTAAATTACTTACATTTGTTTGCTAATTTTATGGGTTCTTAAAAAATATTACAAATCATTAGTTTATTTGAATAGAAATTTCATTCACTTTCTAAACAAATAAAAAAAATAAAAATCAATGAAGACCTTTTATGAAATCCCGTTATTTATGATTATAGAGAAGAAAACTAGGTTAAAAAGGATTAGAAGAAAAAAATAAATAAAAATATATTTAAAGTTGTGTGTTTTTTTAATTTTGGGGCTTACATAACACCATTTATAGATCAATGCAACACCATTTATAGTCCAAGATAAAGTAGCCGTATTTAATTTTAAAAAAGTGAAGCTATTGGCACTCCACTAATGGATCAAAGAAGTCTTGTTTCTTAAGACATCCCATTTCAAAGTTTTAAAATTAAATATTTTTTTATGGTACCCAATAAATTTCATAAATACCATTTATTTATTTATATTTCAAAAGAGTTAACATTTCATTTTCTTCACTTATACTATATACCCCCCACCATCATTATTCCTAAAATAAATTGAAAGTTCATAAAAAATTAAAGCTTAAAAAAAAAAAAAAAATCGATACTAATAATCTCAAAAACATAATACAGTTAAACTATACAAAAAATATATAGATTAAAATAACTACTAATATTTTGAAGAAAAAAATAACAATAAATCTATATGTGAAACAATTAAAATTTAGAATTTTGTATTGCTTGTGACATGATATATCCTATTGCCCATTTTTTTTTCTCTATTAGATTATCTTTTTTTTTTTAAGAATGATTTGAATATCATAAAAAAAAAAAAATAGGGTTTATGAGAAAATAATGGGGTGTCAAAAGTATTTTTAAAGAATATAAAATAAAATTAGTTTTAATAATTTAATATATGGATAAATTTGTTATTATAAAATTTATTAAAAAGTGAGCTTCTTTACTCCATTAATGGGGTGCTAATAGATCCACTTTTTTCAAAAATAAAAAAATAAAAAAGGCCCATAAGTTAGTATACAATAGATACTTTTTTTACCCAAAATAAATAATGTGCCTTTTCATTGAGTGGTGTTATATAAACCCCACTTCATCCCTTTACAAAACTATATATTTTTAACATTTGTAATTACAAAAAAAGTATTTAATGTTTTAAAACACTCCAACTATTTAAAAAAAAAAAAAAAAACTCTTTATTTTTTAAAACCAAACCCCTTTACATGGTTGAATTTTTGTTTTTAAAATTAAAATTATTCCAAAATGAAGTGATAAGAGATGATTTCAGTTAACGAAAGACCATAATCATAAAAGGTAAGTTTTAATTATTCTTTAGCCAGATTTTATTTTGTTTTGTCTTTTGTTATTTGTTCTCTTAGTGAAAAGAAAAAATCATGCAAAAACCTAATACTTAAAAAGATTTTAAAGACTGCATCAAAATTTAACTTTTAAAAAAATGGCAACTGAAATTTAATCCTAGAGANATTTGCCTTTTCATTGAGTGGTGTTATATAAACCCCACTTCATCCCTTTACAAAACTATATATTTTTAACATTTGTAATTACAAAAAAAGTATTTAATGTTTTAAAACACTCCAACTATTTAAAAAAAAAAAAAAAAACTCTTTATTTTTTAAAACCAAACCCCTTTACATGGTTGAATTTTTGTTTTTAAAATTAAAATTATTCCAAAATGAAGTGATAAGAGATGATTTCAGTTAACGAAAGACCATAATCATAAAAGGTAAGTTTTAATTATTCTTTAGCCAGATTTTATTTTGTTTTGTCTTTTGTTATTTGTTCTCTTAGTGAAAAGAAAAAATCATGCAAAAACCTAATACTTAAAAAGATTTTAAAGACTGCATCAAAATTTAACTTTTAAAAAAATGGCAACTGAAATTTAATCCTAGAGACAAAATAAATGGTGGGTTTCTTAACAAAAATTTTGGAAAAAATAACAAAAAAATATTAGAGACACATAATCTTGAAATGAGTTATTAAATATTTGTAAATGATATTTTTATAATAATTTCAATTAATATCGGAGCTTGAAAAGAAATTAAGTATTAATGAGTTTGTTAAATAGTTAAGAAGGTTTGTTTATTTTATTAATTTTTTGAGTTTAAATCATCTTAGAATCACTTATTATATTTATAGTTTATTTGTAACATTTAGCATAAACACTATATATATATATATAAGGGTTAAAATTTATGAACTTATCGGCAGCCTAGAACTCGGCAGCCTATCAATTAAATTCGTCCACTCCACGGTTTTGTCATCCCCACCATTGGATGAGTGTTGATGTTAATGACCATGAAAGGAGTGGCGGGATAGGTAACTTTATGGAAGGGCCACGGTCCTTAAATTAATTAAATATGTGTGTGTATAACAACCCCGGATGGGCTCGTAAATAAAAAAGTTTGTCCCATTTCATCCTAGCAAAACATACAATTTGCTCTCTTTTCCAATAGTCCCATGTCAATGTACGGACACTAAATATTCTTTGGTCTTCCCTCTTCCCTACACCCTCACGTGTGAAGATAATTTTTAAAATTATGAGAAGAATAAAAATAAACAAGTAAGATCGGCAAAACTGTAGAAGATAAATATTCTTCATTTATTCTTTATGCATAAATAATATTTACATATTCAGAATTGGATTAATTGCCTCCCACTTATTTTCATACCCAAACAAATTAAATAAAAAATCTTTAAGTGATAATTTGGAAACTCAAGTCTCAATGTGCACGCATGTACATCAATTAAAGAAAATCCTATCCTCGTGCGCCCATTTTTTTTATTTTTATTTGCTGAAAAATTCAATACAACGTGGCTCGATAAACCATATATTCTTTCCACGCCCTACGCCAACCCGCATCCCACCCCTCCACTTGGCAACAAACAAATCTTTCATCAATCATCATACATAGATTGGCTGTGAGAATAGAAATGTGACGAGAATGTGAAAATAGGAAGAGTCTCCGAGAGAAGGATCCTTCGTGGAACCACGTACATTGTTTTATGCAATTTGTCTTCTTTATATACAACATCAACGCCTCCATGAGCAGTTACATAAGCAAATAATATCAACAGTTTCAATAGTCATACTAGTTCAATTTCAGAGAAATCCAAATGGGTTGTTCAGAGTCAGAAGAGACTTGCAGGAAGCATAAAAACCACAAACAACTCGAAGGGGTTTGTCCATTCTGTCTAAGAGAAAGGCTGTCTCTCTTACAGAAGAAGAAGATTGAAATTGTTGCTGCACCTTATTCTTCGACTTGTTCTTCACCGTCGAATGGCGTCTCACCTCCATCTGCGGTGCGTTCCAGGCATCATCGAAACGTTTCGGAGGTGATGGGGTCGACATCCTTGATGTGGAGTGTTGGTAATGGGTTGAAAAAAAGTAGATCAATTGCTTTCGCTCCAAGAAACTTTATGGGAGAGGTTAAGAATGTGAAGAAGAAGAAAGGGTTTTGGTCGAAGTTGCTTCATTTGGAGAAGAAGAAGGGGGTTTTGATGGATTCAAGGACTGTGAGAGAGAGGTTATAACAAGTAGGTTTTTGTGTAGAAATTCGGGTTTTTTAAAATGTAATCTCTACATTAATTCTTGAAGTATCAGTTATAATTTTATTATGGTGTTCTTTTTTGATATTATGATGAATGTTGGGTCTATGCTTCCTGGATTTCTGCTTGCGAGGTAATTGATATGGGGAAAAACAAACTATTGAGTGCTGATAGAACATAAAATTTGCATCTTGAAAAGGAAATACGTCATTAGAACTTTGAACTGAATTAAACACATATTATCTGAATAGTCCTACTACAGAATAAAGAGCACAATATTAAACTTAAGTTTACGGGACACCACCACAACAGTACTGTATTATCCTAAATCAAATAATAATAAATTCGGTTAATTAGCTATAATGACAAATAATTTGAGTTTTTTTTTTTCTACAATTTCATAGAAATTAGAATGCGATCAAACTTCAATTCAGTTCAGATGTATTTGGTTCAATGCACCCACTTATAAAATATAAACAATGAAATGTAATAAAATTTTCCATAAAAATATTTTTCTATAGAATTCATTGTGTTGCCAGAATCAGCTACCCAGCAAGGGGAGCGTCTGCCAAAGTGTTGTTCAATGATACAACTTATAGTTTTCCCAAAATTTCCTTTGTATGAACTATGAACGTAGCTTTTTCAAATTACCCTTTTCTAGCATCTGAAGTCTTTAATTTGTTGATAGATATGCAGTCTTACTGTAGCAGAACATTATCCCCCCGCTTCAGTTGCATCCGAGGATTCACCCACGAAAAAAGTTTTAGTGCATGCTTCAAATTAAACTGCTCGTAACCTGTACATCTTCTCCCCCCAGTTTCTAGAAAGAGCAAGTTTCTTTTGCCCGAGCAAATCTTTACATTATCTAGCAGGGCCTGAAATATTATCATTTTCATCATCTTCATCCACATGCTCATGGTCTGAAGATGATGGCCGTTTCAGTCTCTGAAATATCTCATCAAGGGACTCCGATGAGTCAGCACGAGAGATTAGTGTAGTTTCCTGTACTTGGCGTAAAGGAAGAAACTTTTTGGCACCTATATTTGCTCTAAAACTTTGGAAACCTGTCTTCATTGATTCCCATTTGGAGGCAAGACCAGTTGGTCCTCCAGTTGTGTTGCCAGAAGAGTTTCCTGCATTAAGCAAGGAGACCTTAGCAGCGGCAATATTTTGCTCAGCTGGTTTTGTACTAGATGATTGTCTACTCTGTTCTCTCATTGCAGCATATTTGTTGCTCATGGCTTCTCTGCTTGTGCTGTACTTTCGAGCTTCTTCTTTTGAAGATTTCAGTGTAGTAGTTCCCTTCATACCATCAGTTACTAAACTTCTTGTCGTCTTCATTTCGAGGGCATTATCCTGAAAAATTTATTCCAAATTAGAATGTTAAATATTATCAGTTTTCGGTCAATGGAAATAAAATAGATGATAACAATGATATGATGATGTCAATCATTCTAACCAACTCATTGTCCCTATAATTTGAAGGGATTGGAAATTCAAAACAAACAAAATAGAAAGGACTGCATCCATCTCCTAAAGAGTACGTTTACATACTGTGCTATTGCTGCCACTCTCAATATCAGTGCCGTTAAAATTTCTTGCCAGTGGAACAACATTATCACCAACTTTACGCCCTTGTTCAAGCCAAGATCGTTCTGAAAAATATGTAGATATATATAAAGTATTATAATCAAATTAGCAATACACAAAACATTAGTTTAGCAACACAAGCAAAGAACTACACATATTGTTTTAAAATTCACATAGTATAATAAGTAATGCATAGTAATCTTTCATCAAAATGAATTGAATAGGCTACCAAGAAGAAATGGGTATATGCTTACCTTTTTGTAAAATAATTAATCCAGATGGATCAAATCCATCCATATCCTCCGTTTCGGTTTGAAATCTAAATCTCGTCCAGCTCCCAAAGAAATCAATTACACGATCAAAAAAATTGCTCGCAACCAACAGGGTGTATATAACCATAATAAGTGGATAAATTTTGTTAAATCCTTCTCCAAAAAAAGGGACAGCACTATCGATGTTCCCCATCCGCTGCAATTAGAATTTATTTATTCATCAAAGTAATTAGTAAAATCCCAATGAAATTCCAGTATAAACCAGAAAAAGAATTATTTTTTAGCTTGTGATTATGAAAATGAAATCAGCCACTTATTAAACACATCTAATTGAAAACTTCTACTCTCATATTTTCCCTTTAATTTTGCAGTGGTATACTGGTTCGGGGTAATATGTCTTGGGTATACAATTTGTACAGTAGTTTTTTTTTTTTTTTTTCCCTAATTTCTACGCAGGACCAGTTTTTGGATGTCCAAAAGAAAGAAAAAAAAGCACTAGAAGAAAATAAAAATGGTGCTTTACATGCTGTCGTACATAGTGATATACAACTTGAATAATATAGGAAGAAAGACAAGAAAAAGAAAAGGTTTAAAAAAATCTAATCAGAAAAAATAGCATTCACTGTCCCACATAACAATAGCTAGAGTGCTGATCTTGGCATGTATCAATTAGTATGTCAGGACAGATTTTACATGTTCAAGATAACAGACAAGCATCAATCCATAAATGAGGAATTTACCTCTTCAAATATAGTTTTGCGCCCATCACGAAGTCTAATAAGATTGAGGAAGTTGTATGAAACTGGAGGAGCATATCGAGCAACCATCCTAACAGAATGTAGCAGTGAAACATAAGAATGAAATTTTCTCTCTGAAAAAATAATAAGGCAAAGTTTCAAATTATGATCACAGAGTAATAAGGAAACACTTACGAGCATATCATAAGCAAGTTCACTGAGCTTGTTTGCCGAGGTGTCAACGAGTAAAACATTAACATTCCAACTTTAAACAAGGAATAATATGTGCAGACACACATATACATCAGAGGTACAAAGGCAAATAGCTGGATCAAATATCCATGTTAAAAAGTAAGAAGAAAAAAACAGTAAAATTTACCAAATGTAAGCATGAAGTAAAATTTAAAATACATACATATATATATATATATATATATATATATTAAGAACTAGTAAAATATTGATCATGAGGCAAGCACACTCAATGTATATTTCATGATCAATTCAGTACAGAACAAATAGCAAGAACTCTGTATTATCATACTTATTTTTCAATTAGTTGCAAATTATCTAACACTACTATATCGATGTAAAAGAAACTGTAATTGACTGTGAATGATGCAACAGAAAGGAAATGCAACAGATTTGATTGTCTAGTTAGTACACTTAACCTAGAAAACTTGTTTTAGATTTGAAATAAGAAATGCATAACTTGTAAACTAGGAATAAGGTAAATATTCTTCCAATTGCATAATCAATTATGGATCCTACAGCAGACCCTAGATACATGACATTAACTTCTGGATGATAATAGAACTGTTCACTAATATGCAGCAGAGGCAATATAATATATGACTCATAACTTGTATCTTTAGAGAGAGAGAGAGAGAGAAGATGCAACAGAAGAAAATTACCTGAACAAACACCTCTTCTGACTTTACAGAGTTTATAAGTATCGAGAAAAGAGAGAGATCAACTCCACTAGGTAAAAGTGTCGCCTCTGCTAAAAGAATAGCAGCTGTCATGGTACCAAATACGATAGCTAAAAGCTTCTCAACTTGTTTTCTTAAAATACATTTCCAAATAAACTCTGCAAAGAACCACCATTTATTTCAAGGATGACGTTAGAAGACCTATAATCAAGTAGTTTACTAGTGGTCAAGATATTGCACAAAAATAAATTAACAAGAGAGCACAAAATATAATAAATTACAGAGCCAACATATGAGTATTAAAACTGGTAAGAAACTACAAAACAAAGAAGAAACTGTATATACAATTACAATTACAATTACAATTACAGCAAAAGTGTGCATGGCAATTTTCATCATAGGGCCTTGATGCAGACATGGTGAAAGGATCCAGATGGTATATTTAGTTTTGGAGTACAAAATATGAAACAAAAAACAGACCAAGACCAATATCTTCTCCAGAGATACTGTCCAAGTAGTCCAAATTAACTGTGTCTTAATTTTAGGTCATTGATGGCAATTCAGGTCCTTCATATTCAAAGGTAAGACCACATTTTTAGAAAATCCTGCATATAAAATTTATTTTAACTTATTTAGGTGTCATCATAACTTAGTATCCTTGAGTTGTCTTTTCTTGGGTTTTAAGGTAGCCATTATACAATTTAATAGGTTGCTTGGCCAAAACAGAGTCCCAAATGGATTTTGATAGACCTATATTACATAAGGAAGTATTCTACTTTCCTAGCAAGTTTGAGATCAATAACTCTTTGACCTATTAAAGACATGGTTGCCTAGTTCCTCTCCTCTAGTTTTCTTCTTCTTTCTCTTAGCTTCTCTTCAACTGTTCTCAGCAATAACAGCATGTAAAACATTACATAAAACAAAATAACCCTAATCTACCAATATCAGAATCACCTTTTACACCTTTCACAGCCATTCAAGCTCCTTTCCTCCTTTGCAAATACAGTAACATAATAACCAGGCCATTGTGCCTTCTACTATGCATCCATGCATGAAAACAACTTTGAATTCACGATTCTACTTTTAAAAAACATAATAACTAGGCCATCCTTGAAAATGGTTGAAAGATACTGAGAGATTCTTTGCACATTGATGCTCAATGATCCAGCAATGAAAAGTTACACTTTCATAGAAACAATGGGCTATATAAACTGGGCAATTACCTATCGTATCAAAGACAGCCCCAATTTTTCCACTTCGAACTGGTCTAAAGCTTGAAATATATTTCCTGAAATGATATCAATGAGCATTTAAGGTCGACAGGGAGCAAACTAGAACATTTATAAAGACACAAATAAAATATTATGAGAATATGTTTAGGAGCAAACCATCTAGTAGAATTGCGTCGATCATAATTTCTTATTGTATCTTCCAATTCTAAGGCCTCCATTACATAGGTCATATACTCACTGCAATACTAATACAAAATTATCAAAAGAATACAATCAAGCTGAGTAAAATAGTGCCGTGACAGTTATTAATATTACTAGATATTTATCTACCAGCCATTGTTGGACCAATTGCATAAAAGTTACATCAATAGCATACAGCAGAAAAAATTTCTACATGGAAAGGAATTAAACAAAGTTTAATACAAAGAGATTGACATCTCAGGCACAATAAAAGTAATATACTATTTATAAATGTGATCATCACTACCAACATTCGAATTCACATTACCAAAATGATTGAATCTGTTCCATAAAACTGAATTCATGAATATTGCTATATGACATTGCACGTTTTGTTTTCCATTTTTATGTTGATTGGTGGAGACGAGACCAATGTTTGATAGACTTCATTCTTTTCCCTTCTACACATTCAAGTATCCAAACACCATTTATGCATTACTAAATGAGATCTGAGGAGGTTTATGCAACCAGCACAACTATAGATCAGCTTTCACTGTCAAGCCAGTCACCAACTGGACCATCCACAGTAGAGGATTTAACTTTCAGGAACAAGAAGTTACAGATCATTGTTTTTATGTCAGTATATCCATAACATTGTATTGTGCCAGAACAAAAGCACCCATATCAATGCATGACTAAAAACAAGACTTAACTGATACTTTTTATAGATGCAACACATAATAAATCCCTAGGCATTTCATCACAGGCATCCCAAAAGTGATCAGAAAGTGAAAGCCACTTTTACCTCGCAAAATATTAGTAAAAGGAAAATGAGGAGAAGANATGCAACAGAAGAAAATTACCTGAACAAACACCTCTTCTGACTTTACAGAGTTTATAAGTATCGAGAAAAGAGAGAGATCAACTCCACTAGGTAAAAGTGTCGCCTCTGCTAAAAGAATAGCAGCTGTCATGGTACCAAATACGATAGCTAAAAGCTTCTCAACTTGTTTTCTTAAAATACATTTCCAAATAAACTCTGCAAAGAACCACCATTTATTTCAAGGATGACGTTAGAAGACCTATAATCAAGTAGTTTACTAGTGGTCAAGATATTGCCCAAAAGTAAATTAACAAGAGAGCACAAAATATAATAAATTACAGAGCCAACATATGAGCATTAAAACTGGTAAGAAACTACAAAACAAAGAAGAAACTGTATATACAATTACAATTACAATTACAATTACAGCAAAAGTGTGCATGGCAATTTTCATCATAGGGCCTTGATGCAGACATGGTGAAAGGATCCAGATGGTATATTTAGTTTTGGAGTACAAAATATGAAACAAAAAACAGACCAAGACCAATATCTTCTCCAGAGATACTGTCCAAGTAGTCCAAATTAACTGTGTCTTAATTTTAGGTCATTGATGGCATTTCAGGTCCTTCATATTCAAAGGTAAGACCACATTTTTAGAAAATCCTGCATATAAAATTTATTTTAACTTATTTAGGTGTCATCATAACTTAGTATCCTTGAGTTGTCTTTTCTTGGGTTTTAAGGTAGCCATTATACAATTTAATAGGTTGCTTGGCCAAAACAGAGTCCCAAATGGATTTTGATAGACCTATATTACATAAGGAAGTATTCTACTTTCCTAGCAAGTTTGAGATCAATAACTCTTTGACCTATTAAAGACATGGTTGCCTAGTTCCTCTCCTCTAGTTTTCTTCTTCTTTCTCTTAGCTTCTCTTCAACTGTTCTCAGCAATAACAGCATGTAAAACATTACATAAAACAAAATAACCCTAATCTACCAATATCAGAATCACCTTTTACACCTTTCATAGCCATTCAAGCTCCTTTCCTCCTTTGCAAATACAGTAACATAATAACCAGGCCATTGTGCCTTCTACTATGCATCCATGCATGAAAACAACTTTGAATTCACGATTCTACTTTTAAAAAACATAATAACTAGGCCATCCTTGAAAATGGTTGAAAGATACTGAGAGATTCTTTGCACATTGATGCTCAATGATCCAGCAATGAAAAGTTACACTTTCATAGAAACAACGGGCTATATAAACTGGGCAATTACCTATCGTATCAAAGACAGCCCCAATTTTTCCACTTCGAACTGGTCTAAAGCTTGAAATATATTTCCTGAAATGATATCAATGAAACATTTAAGGTCGACAGGGAGCAAACTAGAACATTTATAAAGACACAAATAAAATATTATGAGAATATGTTTAGGAGCAAACCATCTAGTAGAATTGCGTCGATCATAATTTCTTATTGTATCTTCCAATTCTAAGGCCTCCATTACATAGGTCATATACTCACTGCAATACTAATACAAAATTATCAAAAGAATACAATCAAGCTGAGTAAAATAGTGCCGTGACAGTTATTAATATTACTAGATATTTATCTACCAGCCATTGTTGGACCAATTGCATAAAAGTTACATCAATAGCATACAGCAGAAAAAATTTCTACATGGAAAGGAATTAAACAAAGTTTAATACAAAGAGATTGACATCTCAGGCACAATAAAAGTAATATACTATTTATAAATGTGATCATCACTACCAACATTCGAATTCACATTACCAAAATGATTGAATCTGTTCCATAAAACTGAATTCATGAATATAGTTATATGACATTGCACGTTTTGTTTTCCATTTTTATGTTGATTGGTGGAGACAAGAGCAATGTTTGATAGACTTCATTCTTTTCCCTTCTACACATTCAAGTATCCAAACACCATATATGCATTACTAGATGAGATCTGAGGAGGTTTATGCAACCAGCACAACTATAGATCAGCTTTCACTGTCAAGCCAGTCACCAACTGGACCATCCACAGTAGAGGATTTAACTTTCAGGCACAAGAAGTTACAGATCATTGTTTTGATGTCAGTACATCCATAACATTGTATTGTGTTAGAACAAAAGCACCCATATTAATGCATGACTAAAAACAAGACTTAACTGATACTTTTTATAGATGCAACACATAATAAATCCCTAGGCATTTCATCACAGGCATCCCAAAAGTGATTAGAAAGTGAAAGCCACTTTTACCTCGCAAAATATTAGTAAAAGGAAAATGAGGAGATGACACAAGGTTACTCTTTTTTTCTTTTTTTTTTTTCTCTACCTTCAAATTATTTCAAAATCTTTGCTATAAGAGATTAAATAGAAATCTCCCTCAAAATTTGAGGGCATCATTTGTCAGAATTTAAGCAAGAAAAGCGATATACAATTTAGGATAATTTGTAGAAGGTTCAAACTTTACCACAACCGAGTGTCATACATCATGTAGATCAAATCTACAGGATAAAAAATTGGAAATTTGGAATATAACAGATGATGCAGCTGCTTTTCAGGCACATATAGGAAAATCTAAAGATGGCAAGTAGTCTCAACAGCACATGGTAAGGTACCAAAACAACGAATATTGACATAGCAGGCATAAGGATTTACAAGGAACTGATGAACACATTGCAAATACTAAACTTTATGATCAAATATACCTTTTGTACCGGTAATACTCCTCTCTAGCTCCTCGAAGATGACGCCTTAGAGTTGCCATTGATTTCTCATCAGTGTCATAGTCCATATCATTTTCCCCCAATCTGCCGCCTTGTGGTTTAAAAGATGGGTCTTCTCTAAACTGGTAATAGAATAGAAATTATTAAAACAAGCACTTTGACAGAACTAGTGTTTTTTGAAAATTCTGATAACAAGTAATACCATTTGAGTCAACATATTATCAATAACATTCATGTAAGGTCTGAGAGGATCACGCTTGGACATTTGATTTGATGTTGCTTGAGCTACCTGTTGAGATAAATCACCAATCAAATAAAACTGTAAAACAACTAACATATTAATTCTTACAAATAAGAAAAAATGGAAGAGTCACTTTTCCTGATACACCATAAATCAAATTGTTCATCAATAAGTCCTCAACAACTATACTAAAAGGCCAAATAATTTGCAGGCAACAAGAACCCAAAACATAGCTAGTTGGACAATGTCTTCCCTAAAAACGCAAAAACAAGTACAAGTGCTGGAAATCTATTGATATAGCCATAAATATTTGGCCCTTTCAGCTCTATGGTAGTAATGTTGGACAATTTATCAGTGTATCCAATATTGACATTTTCCACATTGTCTTTATGTAGATGCCAAAACAACACTTATTTTCTACATTTGATAAGAATAAAACTTAACAAAAGAAATATAAATGTGAGAATAAAATGAACAATGGACAAGAAACCTACCTACTTGTAGACAATATAATTTCTATGCATGTCTATTTAGTCAAAAATTATAAATTCATGCGTGACCCATAGAGATCTCCAAAGCAAAATGAATTTCAATAGGACTTGAGGATAGTTCCATAAGATGGTTCACAAAACAAAACTAAAACACAACAGTTCTTGTTTACATATAATTAATGAATTTAGAACTGACTGCAAAGTAGAAACTTTTGTATGTATATCCAATACAAACTAGCTGGATGAACGATCATGAAACAAATAAAAAAAACTAAGAATAAGACATTAACAAGAAATGTTGAAGATAAGGCAAAATAAGATGAAACTGGACCTTTAAAGCCCAGAAAAAAAAAAAGTTGTACATTAGACATATTTTTCCACAATGATGTGTATAAAGGAAAAAGGAAAATCCAGCATAATACAAATGAAAAAACTTACTACAATAGCATTTGAAAGATCTTGATGAGCATCATCAAGTTTCACAGCCATTTTGGCAATTTTATGAGAAAGCACTTTTTGACGGATGGTCCAATCTGCATTTTTCCAATAGCTTTTGGGAATTTCACTCAAGCCAAAACCAAGCAGAAATGCACCAGTAACAAGCCCAAAAGTATTTGAGCATGCCATAGCAAAACCAAGAACATCTCCACTCCTGTCAATTTGAATATCAAACAACAGGATATAACATCATATTACACAAGAAAGAAAAGGAAAAACCATATATCCACTGTATATTTTTAGAATCCATCATTTTCATAGTGCATCAAACATATTTGGTAAAGAATGAAGCAATCTCATTACAGAGAACACATAGTAATGAGAGAAATTTTTTTTTTGTAGAAATGCGAGCTAAAAAGGATTAAAGCCTATCAGACAACAAATAAATCAACTTTAAGAAAACGAAGAAAACGAACCAATTCTTGTGCATCATGATGAGAAGAATAAGTCCAAAAAGGCCAATGGATCCCACAATTAAATAAAAGACCAAGTTAACATGTACACTAGTCTTCAATCTTTCTGTCACAGTGAAGTCACCAGCATCTTCAAAACCCTGAATAAGGGGCACCACAGCCCTGTTTAGAGATAAAATAGTTTAAAAAAAATGAGGAAACGTGCATCTATAAGCGTAAAACCAAATAGCAGCATCCCTGAGCAGAAGGATGAATAGCAACTTATGTGCTAAAGAGATAACAAAAAGACAAGCAATCGTATAAGGAAAGCACCAAGGTTAGCATATAACAATGCATCATCCTTCATTTAACTATGTAGTATTACAATATGTTTCATGATAAAGGAACTCAAAACTAAATCCAGTGATAACGCACATACAAAGGAAAAGACATTAGATGCACATGTGTAAATGTGTATGCATGAGTTCTTCACTCCTTGTAAACTCAGCGTAGACAAACAGTAACTTAATCAAAAACATCCCGATCATATCAGTCAGGCCTCAAATATAAGAACACCAAGGTGAGTTCACTCCAGTTCATATTAAATAACATGTATAATCCAGTCAATAGTGCCAAGTTATGTTTTTAACTACAACTGGTCAAACAGTTCCTATATTAATATACCACAAGATATTGTCACTAAAATTACTCAAAACAACATTTGACAAAAAACCTAATTTGTCACGAGAACCAAAGGGTTCTCAATGCTGCCCAATGCAGTCACATAAAATCGTTAACATATTTCAATAATAAACGATATCAAAGCAGGTACCAACCATTTTGAAGAATAATTACCCAAAAAGAACAAATACGAATCAAAAAAGAAATTTACATGTAAAGTATACAAGTTTACATATCGCATACCAAGTAAGTAAAAACGTGCTCCAATAAGACCAGCTCCAAAAGAACGAAATGCCTCCATTACCATTAAAATCCGGCGGATGCGATACAGTCTGTAAAAGTAACCAAAGACTAGCATTAACAAAACCAAATCAACAAATGTGCACATTCCAAAGAATTCACACGAAATTGAGATCAAAACATACACGATTCTAATTAAACCAAAACTCAATTAATTCATCCACAAACAAAACAGAAAATCAACGAATTTTCCAAAATGCAACCCTAATTAGCACAAAATTAAATAAAAACAACATGCAATTGATCAAGTACCGTCCAAATATCGGCGGGGACGAGGATGATGATGGAGAGAGAACAGAACCAGGCGTATCCAACGGTGAATAGAACGTAACGAGGAACCTCGGGCCCAGCAAAGTACCTCAACGTTAAAATTACCATGCCTAGGGTTAAAGGCAGCGAGATCAGGTAAAAAACCCACATGTTCCTAGCTTTCTGCAAATTTCTCTTTCGTTTCGAACACTTTATCGCGCTTTTTCTGGACGTTGAGAAAGGGCGGATCGGTGGTTAATAAAAACCTCGCGACTTGACTAGGGTTACAGGCGTGAAGCAGGCCCGCCTGAGAGGCGACAAATGATTTAACGTGCGTCGACGGTTGGGGATATATTGGGCACGAACAAGATGCTTTCGTCTTAATTTAAATTAATTAAATTCAATTGAGTTGGTGAGTTAATTTTAATTTGATTAGTTAGTAATGGCGTTTTGTGGCTGAAAGAAAAGAGTTGATCAAGACTCCAGAGACGGGCTTTTGTAAGACGAAGGATTGTCCCACGTCGAAATCTTGGTTGGGACCTGTTTGTTGCTTTCGTAATAAATATTTTATATTTAAAAAATCTGTCCTTGCGAAATTTATGCGTAAAATAACTCTAGAAATTTATCTTTCTTTTTTTCTTTTATTTTATAATCTTTATTCGTTAACACATAATAACGATTTAAGACATAATTATATTACATATCAAATAGTCAAGTTATTACACTACCAATTTTTTACACAAATTTGTGATACAAATTCATGAATATTAATTTATGATAATCTATATAACCTAAACTATATTAAAAGGGAAGAATTATAAACGAGATTAATTTGTTTATAATAAACATAAAATTTATATAATAAACGTAAAATTTATATAGGATGATTTTTATCGGAGTATCAACCAGTAATTTTACATGATCAATATTTTATTTATTTTTATATGGATTGAAAATGTAATAACCTAAGATTTATAACTCAAATATGAATTATTAATAAAAAACTAGAAATATGTGGGTATCATCAGGGCCGGATTTAGCCCCTTTGAGGGTAGGCCCTACCCTCCCATTTTTTAAAAAATTTATTCATATACAGGCCATCAAAAATTGTTAATTAATATATATATCTAAATCTATCCTTTGATTTAAAAAAAAATGAGAACTATTATACATATATGATATATCTAGGTTCACAAAAAACTTGTTATTAATATATATATTTCAAACCCACATCATATTAAAAATTTAAAACTCTCTCTACTCTTTTTCTCCACGGCTCCACCTATTTTTTATGATTTTATCTCCAAAATTTTTTACTCTCTCATTTTCTTTCTCATGTTATTTGCTCTTAAAACTTTTAAAAACTGAAATTATTAAATTTTCACTACTCAAGTTTTATAATTAGCTTCGTTTTCTATTTTTATTAATTTTAAGTATATGTATTTGTTCATTTCAATTTAGTTTATTTTAGGATTTAATTTTTTTTTTTTTGAGGTTTTTTATTATACTTTAAGGAAAAAAATACATTAATTTTGTGAGTTTATTTTGTATTTTGTGTTTAAGAATGAACCCGCTTTCTCAAATTAAAACCTTGACTATATTTTAAAGGACATTATTCTTTACCTTTCACCCACCACTTTCGTATATTTCAAATATTATCATTTATCTGCTCAAAATTATTAAAGAAATTTGAGTTACTATCTATGTTTATACCAAGAAAATTCTTCATTTTTTTTATTAATTCATATTAAAAGTCAACGCAACGTTGACTTAATTGAAGTTTTGGTTGACTTTAGCTTAATTAGACTATGTATGATCAAAGTCATAAAAAATTATATTATAATCTTTGAAAGCCAAAAATAAAAATATTAAAAGAAGGTAATTAACACATTTACTTAACATTTTGCTTCTCATAGATTTATTCAAGTAAGAAAATATTGTGTTATTGTATATTCTTTTATCTCAAATTCTTAATATTGTATTATTATTTTTTTTATTAAGGTTTGGTGATTTTTTTAAGTTTTCACTAGTTGTTTGGTAAATAATGACGGAGCTGCAGAGGCTCCCCTAACAAAAATCCCGAGTCCACCACTGGGTATCATGGGCCATAAAATACGTAAAGGTGAGTATAAAGCATATTTAACATAAAGTTTCTCTTCTAATGCAAGCAAGCATGTTGGACACTTTTGTTCCATGATTAATTAATTATATGAAAACCAGATTATGTTTAATATGTTAATTACAAAAAAATCATCCACTAAAATTTTGTTCATGCATTATATTTCCACCATCATTTTTATAATATAAGGCTTCACATTTTGGAGAGGACATGGATTTGTTAAGGTTTTTAATTTTTTAATTAATTCATTTGTTGTAAACAACACGTTCACTTGTGTTGTTTTTGTTAAGACAAGTGATATTTACTCCCACTTTTTTGTTTTTATGGTCTCCATTTTTTTAATTTATACAATTTTAACCTTGAATAAAATTGTTGTAAAGAACAATATCGATTCTAAGTACACCCTTATGTTATATATACATGTATATTTATTTATTTATTTATTTTTTATCCTTAATCTTCACTTTTTATATAAACTCTAAATTTAAATTTCATGTCCACTAAAAACGTTTGTTCTATTTTAAATCTAAAGAAGAAAAAGTTTTAATATATTCTTAGTTCTTTTCCTGAGTATTTCACATGTTCAATATAGTTTAAGGAATAACATATTAAAGAAGCAAAGGAGAAAACTCAAGATGGAAAACAAACGTAGATTGTTTTATTTGTGTTAGGAGTGGAGTGCAAAGAAGAGATTTTCATGTCTTTTANATTGAGTATAAAGCATATTTAACATAAAGTTTCTCTTCTAATGCAAGCAAGCATGTTGGACACTTTTGTTCCATGATTAATTAATTATATGAAAACCAGATTATGTTTAATATGTTAATTACAAAAAAATCATCCACTAAAATTTTGTTCATGCATTATATTTCCACCATAATTTTTATAATATAAGGCTTCACATTTTGGAGAGGACATGGATTTGTTAAGGTTTTTAATTTTTTAATTAATTCATTTGTTGTAAACAACACGTTCACTTGTGTTGTTTTTGTTAAGACAAGTGATATTTACTCCCACTTTTTTGTTTTTATGGTCTCCATTTTTTTAATTTATACAATTTTAACCTTGAATAAAATTGTTGTAAAGAACAATATCGATTCTAAGTACACCCTTATGTTATATATACATGTATATTTATTTATTTATTTATTTTTTATCCTTAATCTTCACTTTTTATATAAACTCTAAATTTAAATTTCATGTCCACTAAAAACGTTTGTTCTATTTTAAATCTAAAGAAGAAAAAGTTTTAATATATTCTTAGTTCTTCTCTTGAGTATTTCACTTGTTCAATATAGTTTAAGGAATAACATATTAAAGAAGCAAAGGAGAAAACTCAAGATGGAAAACAAACGTAGATTGTTTTATTTGTGTTAGGAGTGGAGTGCAAAGAAGAGATTTTCATGTCTTTTAGGGGGCGTTTGGTTGGGGATTATGTGGGATTACTGGGGTAATGTCATCTTATATTACTTGATTACCATGTTTGATTGTTAAGTAATATAAGATACCGGTAATCTTCAAATACCAATAGTGGTTACTATTGGTAATATGGGAGGTAATCTGATTACCTCCATTTTCTTAGGTATTCTGAGATCACCAGGGTTATCATTTTTTGTTACAATTTTATCCCTTATTAATAAAATTTTTGGACAATAATACCCCTACTTTAAAACAAATTTATATTAATATCCTATTTCAATTTTACCCTTGTTTAATCAAAATTTTGGACAATAATGCCCTTATATTTAAAATAATTTACAGACCACCACTGCCACCCAGCCACCACCACCACTGCCACCCAGCCACCACCGCCGACAGCGAGCCAACCACCATGGGCCGCCGTCAGAAAATCACCGGAGTCCCCAAAAAAGAATGAGATTCGGTGGGAGACTCCGGGAGGCTTCGATATGATCATTTCCGGCCAAATTGATGGCCGAAAACGGCCATATCGGGCCAGATTGATGGAACTGGCCGTTAACGGCCAGATCCCTGGCCATTAATGGCCAGGTCTGGGCGAGATCTGGCCGATAATGGCCAAGGATCTGGTCGTTAAAAGCTAGATCCGGCCTGATATGGCCGTTTTCGGCCATCAATATGGCCAGAAATGGCCATATCGGAGCCTCTTCGTCACAGTGAGGTATTCACAGGTACTTTCGGAGATTTCTGGCAGTGGTTTGCGGTGGCGGCAGGAGGTGGGGTAATTTCATCATAAATTAAAGTTTTATATAAGCGGGGGTGTTTTAGCTAAATCTGAAATATTGGGGGTTAAAAGAAATTATTCAAAAATTAATAATAAAAATAATCTTATATTAATATTTAAAAGGGGGACAATTTAGTAATTTAAATAATATACCCACCAATTTATTCCCCATAACCAAACATATTAATATAACATACCCACCAACTAACCAAACACATTTTTTTAAAGATTCACAGTAATCTTCCAAGGTAATCTATATTTCTAATAATCCAACATTCCCAGTAATCTAACATTCCTAAACCAAACGCCCCCTTAAAGATATTTTCGATATTAACTATTAAGTGGGGTAAAAAATTATTTATTAAAAAATGAATGATTGTATTAAGTAATTGATGACAGTGGTAAGAATAATGCTAGAGGTACAAAGAAATTTTACTAATATTTATGTACAAATGATGTGACAGGAAATGAATAGAGGAGTCAATATGATGAGTTTGACTTTTTTTATATTTACACTTTCGTTCATTTTCTACTACAGTACAAAAATCTTTGTAAGATTTATTTGTACCTCTAATATTATTGTCCTCATAATTGTGTAAGGGCTAAAAAGTACTTTCCTTTTCTAGTAAATGATGATAGCCCATACTCATAGTATATGCAGCCAAAACAGTGGGTATTTTCAAACGAGTTAGGCCCATTTAATGGTCTATCTCAAGAGCTTCCCGACTACGAGTACGTCCTGGATGGCAATTGGCATGGAAAAAGAAGGTTCACAAATCATTATTATTATTTTAATTTTAACAACCCAATAAAGTTTGTTATTTAGAAAATCTCTCCCTCACTCTCAGAATATTTTCGTTAAAAAAATGGAACAATCGCAATTTTTGCAAAAAAAAATTATATATTTTTTTTTGTCTTTGAAAAACAAATCCGTAAAACAATATAAAAAGTACGCAAAGTTTGGCATTGAGTTTGAGAATGCAATAAGAACAAACATGCCCTTGGCATGTTACTGGGATTTGGAAGATGTAGACGTATTGAAGCTTCATTCAACTTCAGAATTCCAGCTCAACTTTAGTAGTCCAGCTCAGCATATCAATCCAATGTTGACTGAATAGTCAAAGGGAAGTTTTAGTTGGTTTGACTAATTTAGCTGGTGTAAAAGAGTTGTAACTATAGTTAGTTGAAGCTAGTAAAGATTGTTACTTGAGTTAGTTACTAGAGTGAAGTTTATACTAAAGCTGGATGTAAAAACTACAGAATGTACTTTTCTTCGATCTCTAATGAAGATTCTCTTTTCCCAAATCTCTCTCTAATCTCTCACTACACAAAATCTATTATGGTATCAGAGCAATAGGTTTATTTCCTGAATCTGCAGAAGAAGAATTGCTAAATTTGTTCTTGGATCTTGTTTGATTCATTTGATTTGTTCGACTAAGTTCAGACTAGCTCATGTTCGATGATTTGCTTGATTGAAGATCTGCTGGATCAATATTCGACGGTTTGTTCGATCTGTTAGCTCAATTTGTTTGACGGTTTGCTTGATTTTGTTTGTTCGACGGTTTGCTTGATTTTGGTTTTGCTTAGTCTTGGTTAGTATGACGATTAACTCAGTTTGATTCATACTTAGTTTTTTCTTTACGAATTTGCTTCTTCTCTGTTATCTTTCAAGTAATTACACGAAATGGTGAATTCTAGTAGTGAAATGGCAATGAATCCTACAGATTCAAACTCACAATTGTATATCCACTCATCGGATACTCCAGGATCTGTATTAGTAACAGAGCAACTCACAGGCACCGATAATTATGGCATCATGAGTAGGGTATGACAGTATCACTTTGAGCCAAGAATAAATTGGGGTTTGTCGATGGTTCATGCAAGAAGCCAACAGATTTAACTTTGGGTGCGTAATGGGAAAGATGTAATTCACTAGTACTGGCTTGGATCTTCAACACCGTTTCGAAAGAGATTTTCAATGGAATAGTTTACTCCACCAGTGCACATGCAGGATCTCCAAGAGCAGTACCATAAGATCAGTGGAACCAGAATCTATGGAATACAGAGGGAGATTGTTAATCTTACACAAGGTACCATGTCTGTGGCGATCTATTATAACAAGCTGAAATTTTTATGGGATGAATTGAGTTCGTTGATCAGCTTACCACAACTAGACAGTGTAGCGGCCAAAGCGTACCTTAATCACCTAAATCAACAGAAATTGTTGCAGTTTTTGATGGGGCTCAATGACACTTACTCCATGGTAAGAAGTCAGATATTGCTAATGTCGCCATTGCCTTCAGTAAAGCAAGCTTACTCGGTTGTTAAACAAGATGAAAGCCAAAGGATTTCGATAGGGGCCAATGTTGGTTCAGATGTGACCACTGCCTTGTATGCTTAGAACCCGTAGAAGGGGCAAAATCACAATCCAAAATACAAAGGCAAGAAGCCTTACATAGAATGTGACTTCTATCATCTACCAAGGCATAAATGTGATACATGTTACAAAATCCATGGATATCCAATAGATCATAAAGGGAGAATGAATGGATCCGAAAACAAATCATTGGCAAATGAAGTGCAATCTGTTGTTCAAGCAACTCCTACTTCTAATACTCATGTGGATTCATCAAAAGGGTCTATTGGAACTATTCTCTCGACTGAACAATACTCTCAGCTTCTCCAGATGCTTGGCAAGGAAAATATGTCAGCTTCAGGAAACATAGCAGGTAATACAACATCACTGTTATCTTGCTTAAATGAAACTGATAGCTGGATAATAGACTCAGGGGCAACTGATCACATGACCAGTAGATTGTCTAGTCTAAATTCTCCTGTTGAAATGGATTCCTGCCTAAATATGTATGTTGGCTTACCCAATGAAACCAAAACTAGGATTACACACACTGGTTATGTTAAACTGGATGACAAAATTAATCTTGATCATGTATTGCATTTACCCAATTTCAAGTATAACCTATTTTAAGTTTCAAAATTTACTTCATCTAATAATTGTGTTCACATTTTACCCTGACATTTGCTTAATCCAAGACCTATGGAGTGGCAAGTTGAAGGGGATTGGTAAAAAATTCCAAGGCTTGTACTTTCATGTGGCTTTTACACAACCTTTATCACACAACTTTGATGTTCATGAACTTGCCAAAATGCTTTCCTTAAATGCGGTTTGTAATACAGTAGTAAATAAAGGTTCAAGTCCTAGCACAAAATCTGTTTTTTCTAGTTCACATTCTGATTTTCGTATTTGGCATCAAAGATTGAGTCATGTACCAAATCTTGTTCTTAAATAGATAAATAAAACTTTGTTAGTCGATAATGCTTCTCATTGTTCAGTTTGTCCATTGACAAAGAAACTAGAATACCTTTTCCATTAAGTCAAACCATTTCACAACATGCTTTTGATCCTGTACATCTAGATGTATGGGGACCTTATAAGGTACCTACTTACGGTAATGTTAGGTTCTTTCTTACAATTGTGGATGATTGTACTAGAGTGACATGGTTGTTTTTTATGCAATTCAAATCTGATGTGTTTCAAATACTCAAACATTTCTTGATTATGGTTAAAAATCAGTTTCATTTTACACCAAAATGCATTAGATCTGATAATGGCCTGGAATTTTTCAATGAAAATTGTCAAAATTTATTGCTAGAATTAGGTATTCAACACCAAAGTTCATGTGCTTATTCTCCACAACAAAATAGAGTTGTGGAAAGGAAACATATGCATATTTTACAAGTGGCTAGAGCTTTAAAATTTCAGTCCCACTTACCACATTCTCTTTGGGGATATTGTGTTCATACATAGTTTATTTAATAAATAGAATACCAACTCCTGTGTCTTTCCCCATTTGAAAAGTATTTTGGCAAGCCTCCTTCACTAGCACATTTGAGAGTTTTTGGTTGTCTAGCTCACTCTACTATTTTTACACCAAAGGATAAATTTTCTCCTAGGTCTACTCCATGTGTGTTTGTAGGATATTTTTTAGATAAAAAAGGGTACTTACTTCATAATTTGCAAACTCATACTGTCCAGGTTACTAGGGATGTAATCTTCTATGGACATATTTTTCCTTTCAAATGGTCAGTCTCGGATGTGTCTATTTTTCCTTTAGATTCATTTTTAGATGTAGATTCATCTGGTATTTCTTTACATCCTGGACAATCTCATATGCATCTTAATACTGAATCAGTTGTGGTCTTTAATCCTTCACCATCTACTTCACCATCTGTACCAAATCCTCTTGCTGAATCTGAAACATTAAGCCAATCTAATCTTGTTGAACCTGAAACCTTAATCCAATCTAATCCTGCACCTTTAAGAAAATCAAACAGACTTACAAAGCCACCTATATGGACTACTGATTTTCATTGTCCCACACTTTCCTCTTCCTCACAAACTCATTTTGTGAAATATCCAATATCAGATTGTCTCACTTATACACACCTTTCACCCAAGTATCAAGTTTGTCTTAGCAAAACTCCTCCTTAACTAAACCTACCAGCTTCTACCAAGCTTCCAAAGATCCTAAATGGGTTGAGGCTATGTCAAAGGAGATAAAGGCTTTAGAGGACAATCACACTTAGTCATTAGTTCATTTGCTTTCTGGTGAAAATCCAATTGGATATAAATGGGTGTACAAGTTGAAATTTAACTTGACTAGACTTGAGTTATTCAGTGAGTTTATTAAGTCAGTTTATGCATGCTCTTAAAGAATCCCATATGCAAGTAGCCTTGAAGATTGTCAAATATATAAAATGTGCTCCTAGTTTAGGTTTATTCTTTCCATCTGATAGTTTGTAAAACCCTTCCCTAGCCGAGTATTTCCTAGGTATCCCTTGGCCATTGAGAACCTAGAAAAGACACACCTAGGAAATGAGTTTGTTTCAAAACCTATACTTTTGTTTGTTTTGTCTTTGTTTTTTTTTTTAAACATATTTACTTCAATATCCATAAACCAAAAACCATTTGATGTTATTTTACACCAAAACACAAAACATAGCAAAAGCATTCCTTCATGCGCATGTCATTCCCCAGTAGCCTCTCCCAGCTTCAAGCTTTAATCCTTACCTGCAAAACATTTTAAAAATTTCGTAGGGTGAGCACTAATTGCTCAGTAAGGGAATATGGTCATTTATAAACTATCAAATTTCATTATACAAGCATATTACTCAAGACTTTACCTACATACAAGACATGACCTTCATTCATTGACATTACCAAGTTCATAAAACATGTCATACACTTTGGACTTAGCTCATGAACATAAGTCATAAAATAACCATACATAATATAACATAGAACATAGAACATATATGACTTATGCAGTATTCATAAACATGGCATGCTTATTTCTTTTGTCTTTGTACTTGACCTTTTCATTAGTCTTTATTATCTGATCGGATTCATTTGAACAATTTCCTTTTTCTTGGTCGTCACCTCAAAGGACTCATGGTTTTCACAAAGATTTCATTCCTCTAATCTTGGTTTACACCTCAAGAAACTCATGGAATTCATTCATTAACATTTCATAATTTTTTTCATAAGTCAACTAAATAAGCTATATGCATTACCGTTATGAATGCAAACATATGGGATAACATCTCCCACGCTCAATCATACTATTCATTCATTTAACATGTACCCTAGGCCAGTTGCACAATTCATCAATCAATTTTGCAAAACTCCTTGACATGAATATTTTCTTATTAAATTCATTACACTTCTCATAAAACACAAGGAATTTCAACAAGTGCCTTTGATTAATTTTTTTAGACCATAGGATTATTCAGTGGTTTATTAGAAATTATGAAAAAGATGGGAATTTTTATTAAGGAGGTGGATGCCATACAGTTCGTCACTTTTTCAGCAATTTTTTCCTCATCTTCCAATTCGAATTGATTCTTGGCTAAAACATAAAAGTTTTAGGTCTATTTCTCAACTTTTAACACTTCAAGAATCAGCACAATCCGACTTTTATAACTTCAGTTATGACTGATTTAGCGAAGCAAGTACAATACAAGTCTTAAAAAGCCAAATTCAAATTCTATTCATTTTTAACCATGTCACATTCATTTGCACATTCATAATATTTGCCATAGCACTCTAAGTATAAAAGGCCATAAAAACCTCCCTTTTCATAAAACCAAAATGTGCCAAGACATCGTCCAACTACAAATCTCTTAATTGGCATAATCATTCTCCATATGCACACATAAACCAATCAACACACCCATTTAAATAATTCATAACCAAAACATAGCATCAAACTCAAATTAACATAAATAAATGTAAGTTTTATCAACCCTAGGTGTTATCAATTTTAGTCCTAAGAGAGATTTTTTTTTTCCCTTACCTTAGTATTCAAAGCATAAAGACACTCCTCCTTAGCTCCAAAGGTTCACTATCTCTATTTTACACACATAACCACTTATGAATTTCTCTTTTAACTAAAGATCACAACTAGGGTTTTAAAACTCACCTTAAACCTTGAAATTGAAATTCTTTAAGTGTGGATGGTGATCTTCTTCAAAATTCAACTTGAAATCCTATGAAAAATTTGAGAGAGAGAGCTTGAATTAAAGTCTTTAATGAAGGTAAATAAGACTTGAAGAAGAAAGTTTGGTGTTCTAAGAGTGTTGGCCGACTTAACCAAAAAAAATCTTATAAACATTTAATTTTTTTAATTCCCAAATGGGATTGTCCATCAAAAGTTAGATATATGGGTCATTTGGTATAAATTTTGCATATAAAGGCATTTTGGTCATTTCTACTACAACATAATTATTACACTCCTTTAATGCCATTTGACTTCTCTTTTCTACTTGGTGACTAAGTAATTTCATAATATAATTAACTAATTTACTCATAATACACTTTTATGGATACTTGATTCCTATAAATTATTGTGAAAATACCATTATACCCCTTAGGAACCGTTTATGCCGTTTAACCCTACTAACCTCCTTCATGACCCTTTAACCATATTTCTTATCAGTATCATCAATTCCTAACACTTTACAACATTCACGTCTCATAATGCATGCAAAATGACCATTTTACCCTTTTATTGATAAAAAATCCTTTTAAGGGTAGAATTACATACCTTATAGCATCGAAATTCTGACGTGGGTTTACACAGTTCTTTACACCTCAATGTTTATTGTGATTCAGATTGGGCTTCTTGTTTACTTACAAGAAGGTCAGTTACTGGTTTTTGTGTATTGTTGGGAAATTCTCTTTTGTCTTGGAAGTCTAAGAAGCAGGTCACTGTCTCTCGGTCTTCTTCAGAAGCTTAATACAAGGCCATGGTCTCTACTGTTTGTGAAATTGTATGGATAGTGCAATTGCTTTTAGAACTTGGTTATCCTTCTTCTTCTACT